TGGAGGGACAGCGCAGAAGGGGAAATCCCTCTATGAGGTGGATTGATTCAGTGACTGGGGCAATCAGGGTGGGAGTGTCAGAGACAGTGTGATTGACACAGGACAGAGCAGAGTTTTGGGCTGTTGTCCATAGGGTCGCTATGATTCGCAGTTGACTCAAGGGCACTGACAACAACAGCAACAATAACAATGCTGTAGCCTGTATGATCAAAATTAGTATTAACTCTTTTATCACACCTGGGCCGATTGGCAGCATCATGATAGATGGTGAAGAGATTCAGACTGTTGACAGCTTCAGTTTATTTGGTTCTACACTCATGGTACCAGCAGCCAGGAAATGAAAAGATAAGTTGCATTGGGAAAGTCTGCTCTCAGAGACTCTCCAAGGTACTGAGGAGCAACAATGTCAGTCTGGAGACTAAGGTGCCCCTGATACAGGCCATGATCTTTGCCATTACTTGCTTGCTTCAGAGAGCTGGACAATTACTAGGGACTATAGAAAGAGATTTGATGCCTTTGAGCTTTGTTGCTGAAGAAGAGTATGGAATATATCATGGACTGCTAGGGGAACAAATAAGTCCATCCTGGAAAGGGTGAAGCCCATCCTGGAAAGGGTGAAGCCAGGCTGCTCTTTGGAAGCAAGGATCCTGAAGTTTCATCTCACATATTTTGGACATATTACGTGGAGGGATCAGTCATTGGAGAGGGATATCATGCTTGGGAGGGTAGAGGGACAGTGCAGGAAAGGAAGATCCTCGATGAATGGATGAATTCCATGACTGGGGGTGTACGGATAGACATGTCGTAGACATGTATATTACATGGTATTGGTAAGGCATAGAGCATGGTTTAGGGCTGTTGTCCAAAGGGTCGCTACGAGTTGCAAGTGACTCGACAGCACATAACAACAACAACCACTAGAACCCATTACATAAAGCTTGTACATCTGCCTTCATTCTATACTCGATTGGATAAAGTCTAAAAGAGAATATTTACCTCAGAGAGCTGCAATTTTTATTTTTTTAAATTAGATTTCATACAATCATTTTCATACCCGTGGGTCAGTCCTGTAAAGTCATGTTTTAATCTTCATATAATCATTTGTTCAGGGAGCTCTGGTGGTCATATACATTGTGTTTTCTATAACTGGTTTCTACTGATCATTATCTTTTGCTACTCATTCTCTTTCATTCCCTTTTGCACCTTCCATATTCTTCATCTTGTCCCCTAACACCTGCCCACTAATCTCTGCTGCTGTAGTGGATTTTGGGGTTGTAGATGGGATTTCCCCCTCCGACTTCTTCTGCCCTTCTCATCTTTCTGCTGTGCTTTTCAACACTCACATAGGTCCTGCTCATATTTGCTAATTACAATTGCCATATTATCTTTTTGTCAATGCTTCCCAGGATGTTCTTGCTTTGTCATGATCTTTTACAGTGTTGGTTTATTATACATTTCACTTCTGCTCTCCCAATCTCCCCAACTTCCCTGTTACACTTCTATTTTCACAGTAATTGTCATATGCAATGTTTTATTTAAACAAATTTGTGTTAGGTCACAGACTCAAGAGAAAGGAACCAGAGAGAAAACAACAAGTAAGCATAAAGGAAGATTTAGTAAGGGGACTCCTGGGTGAGATCCCTTGGCCTAGAGAGAGAGAGAGAGAGACCAGGGAATCTGCCATTTAAGGTCCAATTGGGACAGGTTTTTATAACACGGTCTAAGGGAAGGGGGAAGGATAAAGGCATTTCACTGTAGTTAATTGCTGGTCAAGCCAGGTGTACGAGTCTATTCATTCTTCTTTCTGGCAGGTTACAGCTCTCAGTCTTCTATGTCAATGGTCCACATCCTTCAGTTGGCCGTTTACAGGACTGAAGAATCCAACATGTCACAACAAGGCACTAAAGGATGAGACAAAGTCATCATCCCTCCCCCTGGACTCAATGTTAGGCCAATAATTTGGGCCTTTAGATGCAATGGATATATTACTTGAAGTAACTGAACAACTTTCTAAAACAGAGAAGATCACAACAAAGTGATTTCATGGTGGTGTAAAATAAACATTTAAAGAAATACTGCAAATCTTTCTAAACATCTACCTCAACAATAGGAGAGGAAATATTCATAATTCAGTCTACATGTCACCACTATGAAATTGCTAAAAGCAGAAAAATTCATTAGTAGAAAGGAAATTACAGAACAATAAGGTTCTTACCCTCTATGTACAATTTAAAGTCTCTGAATACCTGGACGGCCAGCTATCTATAAGTTGGTTCTGAATTCACAGAAATTACTTGATTGAAATGGAATCGAACAATGTAATAAAATGCTATAAAACACAAATAAGGGCCATATATCTTGGATAAAAATGTTCCACTCTAGGCTCTTAAATCAGTTTTTGAGATTTAATCTACAAAGTACTTGTGATATGGAATTTCCTCTTTCTGGTTTTGATGGACCTTCAACTTATTCTGTGTCTCTGGGCCTTACTTTTTTTCCTCAAACCAACTCAGCAGCTATGGCTGCATATTTTCAGCTTTCCTGAGCATCTCCTCAAATGCATATCTGACTTGCATTATTTGTGGGTTTTGTTGTTTTGTGTTGATGGTGGGAGTTGTTATTTTTTTTTAAATGGCATAGAGATTCTGTCAATTTTCTTTTTTGTTTATTTTTCCTATTTTTTAAACAAGAATTAATATTTTAATGAAAGTTTACAGAAAACTTTTCTTTTTATCCCTTCAATCATTGTTGCACATTCTCCTACCCTGCTTTGTGTACTATAGCCAGTGTGATGTTGGAGTTTTGTGCACTTTCCCTATTTTTCAGGATACCAAACACATATTTTGACTATACACCATTGTCTACCTTGAAGGAATGCAGTCAGATGCAATGTATAACCTCTCCAAAGATATTGACTAAGTAGTTCTGAGTCTATGTATCTCTCTTTGTGGATCCTCCTTGTTTTCTTGTTTAAAAGTGTTGTTTATCTGTGTCTTCAACATCTTCAGTGTGCAGAGGCCCATAAATGGTAAGAGGAAACCTCAGAGCCTGAAAGGAAGTGTGTTTTCACCACAGTCCTCTCCTCTGTAGAAATGGTGACACATCTGAGAATCTGCCTGCATTTTTGAACAGACATTCCCCTAGGCTGTGTCTCTGTGTTTGTCGTGCACAATAATACATGGCTGTGTCTGTGGGGCTCATGTTGGTCATGGTTAAGAACACTTTGCTCTTGGAGGTGTCTCTGGAAATTGTGAGCCAGCTCTTCAGAGATGGTGCATAATACTTGTTATCATCCCACCATATATCGGAGAGCCACTCAGGTGCCTTTCCTTGGAGCTGACGGAGCCAGGCAACACCAATACTACAAGTGCTCAGTGAGAATCCAGAGACAGTACAGGTCAGTGATAGAACCTCATTAGGTTTCAACAGCCCAGGACCAGACTCTTTCAGGGTGACCTGAGAAAGAACCCCTGTTGGATGAAAACACAGAAAGAAAATAATGCAGATTCAAGAAGTTAAGAGGATTCTTTTTATCCCTGATCAAGCTCCGGACCAAAGCACTCACAGCAAGGGAGGGACAGAAGCAAGACAAGTGACTGAAGTAAGTCCATGGTGAAGCAAAATTCACAGATGGAGAGTCAGGGATCAGCTTTTAAATCTAGAAGAGGTTCACAGTGGTGGATATTTGCATACCCTTTAAATATGCTCTGAACCTATTTATTCAGGGGGTAAGGTGCAGAAGAACATCTGTCTCTGTTAGAGAAGGAGCAAGTCTTAAGGTTGGGATCCCAGGGACCATAATACCTAGGTGTAAACTGACCGTTGGATGTGCAGAATATCAAGACTTGAAGTTCTTGAAAATGTAAGAGTCAATGAATGCTGTAAGACTCTGAATTAAGATTAGATACCCTTTCCTGAAAAGCTTGTTCATAAATTGTTTTGCTTGTGATTGTTGCTCTAGATATGACAAATTATCAAGATAGACATATTTGTTTGTATTCAAGAAACAGATAGCAGGACAAAAATGGATTTATAATGAACACTGCACTAGAAGGAAGGGGATATCTGAAAGTAATGAATGACTAGATATTTTACATATGGCAATTAATAATTTGAAACAAAATATACATTACCAAACAATTTGGGGAATAAGGAGGAAGAAAAATTTGGATCATTGAATGAATGAAAATCAATCTTTGCTGTAGACATTTCACAAAAATAAAAATATTAAAAGTAACAAAATGATATTTGCTGTGGGAAGAGTAATGGTGATTCCAAAATATTATTTTAGCCCATCACAATTAAGTTAAATAATAGAGAGACTATTGAAATTGGAAATCTGTCAATCAGGGTTGTATTCTTTCTCCTGGCCATTCATTATTTATTTAAGCTCAGCAAATCAACATAATTCATCACATTAACAAAGCAAATAGTAAGAAACATATAATTTTGGCAACTGATACATAAAAGGCCATTGAAAAAACTCAACACACCTTCCTCATTTAGACACTCAGCCAAATAGGAATACAAGAAACTTCCACAACATAGTTAAAAGTATGAGCCAATATCATTCTCAATGCAGAAAGACTAGAAATATTTTCCATGTGAGCAGGGACCAGACAGGGATGCCCACTGTCACCATTTCTATTCAATATTGTATTGGAATTACTTGCTGGGGCAATACAACAAAGGAAAGAAATGAAAGGCATCCAGAGCAGCAAAGGGATGGTTAAACAGTCACTATATTCCAATAATAAGATAGTGTACATAAAATATCCCAAGGACTCAATAGAAAAAAAAAACTGTCAAAGCTACTGAACCGCTTTAGTAGGGTGGCAAGATACAGGATTAATAGAGAAAGCCAGGGAGATTCCTCTACAGTAACAAAGAGAATGAACCAAGAAAGCAATAAATCTAGAATACTATTCACAACACAAACTGAGATGTTGGGAATGAATCTAAATACAGACTAGAAATTAACCACATTCAGGGTATTCCACCCAATTAAAACTTAATTCTTCTCAAGTGCATATGGTACATTCTTAAGAATTGATCATATACAAAATAACTTTTCAGGCCACAATGAGAATATACCTGGGCCTAAAAAAAAAACCACAAAAAACTGAAAAATTACAAAATGGGGAAAAATCATGGAAAGTCTTTTCACAGAGCAAGAGAGTGAGATAGCCAACTGACACATAAAAAAAAATGTACAATATCCCTGGCAGTAAGAGAGATAGGAATGCAAACCACAAAGAGATACCATATAATCTCGGTAGCACTGACATTGTTTAGCAGGATAGTAAGGAATAAATGTTGGAGAGGACATGGAGATGTGGGAACTCTTATACACTGTTGGTGGGATTGTAAAATGGTACAATCACTCTTAAAATTCTGGATATAGAAACTCTGTATGACCTAGATTTCATTGCTAGGAATATATTCCAAAGGAAGTAGAACTGAGACACAAACAGAGATTTATACGTAGTGTTCATAGAGGCATGATTCACCATCGTTAAGAACATGGAATCAGCTTAAATGTCAAATGACAACTGAATCAATTGAGAAATTGTTGTACATTAATAAAATGGAATATTATGTATAACTCAAGAGCAGCAATTTTGAAAAATACTATATAACTTGGGAGAGACTGGAGAGCAGTTTGCTGAGCAAACTATATCAGTCTCATAAAAGGGTGCTTAAGACTATTACTGTAAAACAGAAGTATAACTCCTGTAAAAAAACAGGAGCAAAAACCAGAAGATAAGTAATAAAACATCCCAAGAGAGAAAGGGGTGAGAGTAGATAGATTGGAATGGGTAGGAGCAAAATCACAGGGTTACAATATTTGGTGGGTAGAGGGATGGGAAAATTAAATGGAATCATCTGGTGGGGACCTGAAAGACAGGGTAATGGTGGCAGAATCCAATGGTGATTAATTTTACAAAACATAATGAGTGGGAATTATTATATGAAACACCTTGTGTATGAAGAATAGCATGAAACACAATGCACACTAACTTTGTAAGCAAACAATATAGAAAAAAAGTCTTTTTTATAAAAGAAATTTAAAGTAAATAATACAGTGTATGGACATAATGTATAAGCATTTAACATAATATATATGAATGATAATACTATTAATAAATTGAAACAAACAAGGTCAGTGTTCAAAAAAAAAAAAGAATTTGCTTGTATGGAAACATTACAAAAAGTGGTGTATGATGAAGACCCAATGGTTACAAAGAAAGATACTCAAGATGTACTAAAGATATATTGGCAAAATGCCAGTAGACATATTCCAACAAATATACATCCATGGATGAGCTTCTAGGCTGTGTCTTAAGATATGGAAGTTAGCTACCTGGGCAATTGACTGGAAGAGATGTATATTTGTTCCAATTCCCAAGGAAGGTGATTCAATAGAATGTAGAAACCATCAAACAATATTAATATTATCCCATGGAAGAAAAATCTTGCTGAAAAGTATTCAAAATCTTCTAGAATAGTAAATCAACAGAGAACTCTCAGAAGTATAAGCTACGTTTAGAAGAGGCTATGGCACCACAGATATCATTGAAGATGACAAAGGGATTTTGGAGAAAGAAGGGAATACCAGAAGAGATGTCTGTGTTTTGTTGACTGTGCAAAGCATATTGACTGTGTCATTGAAACAAATTAGGTTCTAGTGTGCAAAGTTTGTGAGGATGGCACAGGATAAAACAGTGTTTGGCCTGCTGCTCATAGGGTGCTACAGACTGAGGATTTTAGTCCTTCCCCAGACACCAGAAAACCATTCATTCCTGTGTCAGTCACAATCCATTTGCTTTAACGTAAAGAATTGTTGTTGTTATGTGACATGGAGTCATTTCTGACTCATAACGACCCTATGCACAACAGCCCTAAACCCTGCTCTATCATGCGCCAACCGCACCGCCTCTGGCACACCCATACTGATTACCCCAGTCACCGAATCAATCCATCTCATAGAGAGTCTTCCTCTCCTGTGCTGTCCCTCCACCCTCCCAAGCATGATGTCCCTCTCCAAGGACCCATCCCTCCTGGCAACATGTCCAAAGTATGTGAGAAGAAGCCCCAGAATCCTTGCCTTCAAGGAGCAGCTTGGTTTAATCCTCTCCAAGATGAATCTGTTTGTTTTCCTGGCAGTCCATGGTACATTCGTACCATTCTCCAGCACCACAGCTCAAAGGTATCAATTCTTCTGTCCTCCTTAGTCATTGTCCAACTCTCTGATGCATAACAAGCTATTGCAAATACCATGGCCTGTATCAGGTGCACCTTGGTCTCCAAAGAGACACTGCTGCTCCTGAGTACTTTAGAGAGGTCCCTAACAGCAGACTTTCCCATCGCGATACGCTTTTTGATTTCCTGACTGCTGGTGCCAAGAGTGTTGACTGTGGAGCCGAGCATACTGAAGCTGTGAACACTCTCAATCTCTTCGTCATCCATCCTTACGCTGCCAATTGGTCCAGTGGTGAGAATCTTTGTCTTCTTGACATTGAGTCTCAGTGCATACTGAAGGCTGCAGTCCTTGACCCTTTGCAGCAAGTGCATGAGGTCCTCCTCAGTTTCAGCAAGCAGGGTTGTGTCATCTGCATAATGGAGATTGTTAATAGATCTTCCACCAGTCCTTATGCCACAATTCTCCTCGTAGAGTCCAGCCTCTCGGATAATCTGCTCTGCATACATGTTGAAAAGGTATGGAGACAGGATGCATCCCTGGCGTAAACCCTTCCCAATTTTGAACCATGCCGTGTTACCCTGCTCTGTTCTGACTACTGCCTCTTGGTCCAAGTATAGGTTTCGCATTAGCACAATTAAATGTTCTGAGATTCCCATTCTTCTCAGAGTCAGACACAGTTTGTTATGATCCACACAGTCAAATGCCTTTGCATAATCAATGAAACACAGACATTCTTCTGGTATTCTCTGCTTTCAGCCAAGATCCATCTAACATCAGCAACAATATCCGTAAAGAATAGAGAACATATTATTCAAATTTTCTCTTTTCCCAGTTACAAATTATTCTCAGTTTCTAAATCTGACCTTCTCCAGAGGTTTTGTTAATGAAGTTGAGCCCTTGTGGTTAAGTGAGTAAATGCAACAGTCTTTGACGTAAATTCAACAGCTGACCCATAGGAAAATGATATGGTAGTTTGTTTCTGTGAATGGTTCTACTCTGTTCTATAGAGTCACAATGTATGAGCTGTTAGGTGCTGTCAAGTCAATTATGATCAAAATAAATTGATGAAAAACAGAGTTGTTCTCATCACTTCTTTTATATAGGACCCCTATTGTATCAGTCACTGTATTAATGCATTTTTTAATTGAAGGTCTTCCTTTCTCTATCTTTCCCCCTTTCTTAGCATGTCTTACTCGAAGGACTGGCCTCTATTGCATCACAACTGAGCCGATTGGCAGCATCATGATTGATGGTGAAGAGACTGACAACTTTAGTTTGCTTGGCTTTACAATCAACACTTGGTAACAGCAGCCAGGAAATGAAAAATGAATTGTCTTAGGAAAGTCTGCATCAGAGACCTCTCCAAAGAACTGAAGAGCAGCTGAAGGTCAGTCTGGAGACTAAGGTGTGCCTGATACAAGCCAAGGTCTTTGTTATTACATGCTATGGTTCAGAGAGCTGGACAATGACTAGGGATGATAGAAGAAGGGTCGATGCCTTTTAGCTTTGTTGCTGGAGAAGAGGATTGAATATACCATGCACTGCTGGAAAATAAATAGGTTCATCCTAGAGAAGGTGAAGCCAGGCTGCTCCTTGGAAGTAAGGATTCTGAGGCTCCATCTGACATACTTTGGACATGTTGTAAGGAGGGACCAGTCCTTGGAGAGGGACATCATGCTTGGGAATGTGGACGGACAGCGCAGGAAAGGAAAATCCTCAATGAGGTGGATGGATTCCATTACAGGGGTAAAGGGGTTTAACTTTCAGAGACAATGAGATTGGTAAGGGTAGAGCATGGTTTAGGGCTGTTGTACAAATGGTCCCCCTTCTTCTGCCCTTCTCCTCTTTCTGCTGAATTTTTCAAAAGTTACATAGTTCCTGTCTTTTTGTCAATGCTTCCCTGGAGGCTCCTCCTTTGTCCTGATCTTTTACAGTGTTAATTTATTATACATTCAATTTCTGCTCTCCCAATCTCCCCCACTCCCCTATTATATTTCTATTTTCACAGTAATGGTCATATGCAATATTTTATTTAAACAAATTTGTATTAGGTCATGGACTCAAGAGAACGGGACCAGAGAGAAAAACAAGCAAGCAAGCATAAATTCCTTGGTATATAGAGATAGATAAGGGAATCTGTGCTTCAAGGTGCATTGGGACAGATTTTTTTACATGGTTTTAGATAATGGAGAAGTTTAAAGGCATTTCACTGTAGTTAGTTGTTGATCACGCCAGGTGTATGAATCTATTCATTCTTCTTGCTGACATGCTGCAATTCTCAGTCTTCTATGTCAATGGACCGCATCCTTCAGCTGGCCGTTTACAGTACTGAAGAATCCAACATGAGACAAGATCATCATGCCCCCCGCCCCGGTCTCCTTTTCGTTCCAACAATTTGACCTTTAGATCCAAGGGATTTATTACTTGAAGTAACTGAACAACAGCTTTCTAAAACACAGAAGATCACAACCAAGTGATTTCACTACTGGTGTAAAATAAACCTTTAAAGATACACTACTAATATTTCTAAACATCTACCTCAACAACCAGAGAGGAAATATTTCATAGTTCGTTCTAATATGCCACCACACTATGTAATTGTTAAAAGTAGAGAAATTCATTATTAGAAAGGAAATTACAGAACAATAAGGTTCCTAATCTTTTACTGTGCAATTGAAAGCCTCTGAAAACTTAGAAGGTCAACTTTGAGTTGGTTCTGTCTCCTTAGAAATTCCTTGACTGAAACGGAACCTAACAATGTAGTACAATACTAAAAAACACAAATAAAGGCCATATATCTTGGGTAAAAATGTTCCATTCTAGGTTCTTAAATCTGTTTTTGAAATTTACCCTACAAAGGGTTTGTGAAATGGATTTCCTCTTTCTGGTTTTGATGGATCTGCACCTTATTCTGTGGTTCTGGGTCTTAGTTTTTTTCTCAAAAAACCTCAGTAGCTATAACCCCAAATGTTCTGCATTCCTGAGCATCTCCACAAATACATACTTGACTTTCATGCTTTGAGGTTTTTGTTGTTTTGTGTTTAGGGTTGGGGTTTTTTTTCTCTCACTTTGTATTTTTATATTTTCCTTTTTCATATTTTTATATTAATTATAATTTTAATAAAGGTTTCCAGAAAACTTGTATTTTCATTCATTCATTGATTGTTGCACATTCTTCCCCCACTCAACACTGTGTGTTCTTAAATTTTTATAGCCAGTGTGAATCTTGGAGCCTATATGCACTTTCCCTATTTTTCAGGATACCAAACACAAATACACTATTGTCTACCTTGAAGGGATGCAGTCACATGCAGTGTATAACCTCTCCAAAGATAGTGACTAAGCATTTCTAAGTCTATGTATCTCTCATTGTAGATCCTCCTTGTGTTCTTTGGTCAGAAGTGTTGTTTATATCTGTGTCTTCAACAGCCTCAGTGTGCACTGAGACTCCTCAGTGGGGAGAGGAAACCCCAGAGTCTGACAGGAAGTGTGTTTTTCACCACAGTCCTCTCCTATGCAGTAATGGGGACACATCTGAGAATCTGCCTGGGTTTTTGAATGGACGTTCCCCTAGGCTGTGTCTCTGTGTTCATCATACACAGTAGTACATGGCTGTGTCTGTGGGGCTCATGTTGGTCATAGTTAAAAACACTTGGTTTTTGGAGGTGTCTCTGGAAATTGTGAGCCGACTCTTCAGAGATGGTGCATATCTTTTATCATCATCCCAGTATATGTGGGAGAGCCACTCAGGTGCCTTTCCTTGAGGATGACGGAGCCAGGCGACAGCAGTATCAGTAGTGCTCAGTGAGAATCCAGAGATGGTGCAGGTCAGTGATAGGACCTCATTAGGTTTCAGCAGCCCAGGACCAGACTCTTTCAGGGTGACCTGAGAAAGAACCCCTGTGGGAAGAAAACACAAAAAGAATATAATGCCAATTCAAGAATTTAACAGCATTAATTTCATGCCTGAGCAATCTCTAGGCCAAAGCACTCACAGGAAGGGAGGGTCAGCAGCAGCACAATGGAATGAAGTAAGTTCATAGTGAAGCAGAATTCACAGATGGAGAGTCAGGGATCAGCTTTTAAATCTAGAAGAGTTTCAGAGTGGTGGTGATTTGCATACCCTTTAAATAAGCTCTAAACTTATTTATTCAAGGGATAAGGTGCAGGAGAGTATCTGTTACTGTTCGAGAAGCAGTAGGAATGAGACCTAATGTACCATATGCCTGATGTGCAAACTGACCATTACATGTGCAGAGTATCAAGACTTGAAGTTCTTGAAAATTAAGAGTCAATGAATTCTGTAAGACTCTGAATTAAGATTAGATAGCCTCTCCTGAAAAGCTTGCTCCGAGACAGTTTTGCTTGTGATTATTGTTCTAGAGTATGACAAATTATCAAGAGAGACATATTTGTTTGTCTTTAAGAAGCATCAGGGAAAAAAATAGATTGAAAATAAACACTGTACTGCAATATGTAAAGAGAAGGTATATCTGAAAATAATACATGATTAGATATATTATGTATGACAATTAGTAATCTAGAATAAAAAAGGCATTACAAAACAAATGGGGGAATAAGGAGGGAAGTAATTTTGGATCAGCGAATGCATGATAATTTATCTTTTCTGTAAATTTTCACAAAAAATCACAATTTAAAAAAAGTACGGAACACATCATCCTTCCTTTGGAGACATTACAACTAAAGAGACACTGGTTACAACATAAGATAGCTGACGTGTCAGCAGCTGACGTGTTTGGAATCACAGAAGCCAAGAAAGCTTCAGATACAAGATGTCAGATCAAAGGGTTGGACATGGATGATAAATGCTGAAGGGATTAGGTAGAAGTGAAGGGGTTTTCTGGTGGAGGATGGAGCTGGGAAATAAGTGGGCCAAGGGCAGGGACAACACTCTAACTAATGGTTACCTCCACAATGAGGGATTTATCATTCACTGTTCTATAAATTGCTCATCTGTCAGATACTCCTCTAAATCTGAACATTCAGGTTAAGACAGACTAGGAAGAAGGATTCGCTATCCACTTCTGAAATAGCATGCTTCTGAAAACCCTATGTATAAGAGAACACACGTAGACTAACAGAGAGGGCAAGTGAGGTAGAACTTTCAAGTATAGAAACAAAAAAGAAGAGGAACAGTTGTAAGCAGACACTAGTGATTGGAACATGGAATGTGAGAACTATGAATGTAGGAAAATTAGATATTGTTAAGAAAGAAATGGAAGGCATAAATATTGATATACTAGGCATTGGAGAGATGAGATGGACTGACATGGGGCATTTTGAGTCAGATGATCATATGATATATTACTCCGGAGATGAAAAGGTGAGGAAAAATGGAGTTGCTTTCATAGTTAAAAAAGTAATTTCTAGATCCGTCTTGAA